AAAAAAAAAAATAATAAACTAAAAAGAGTACCTATTTTACGTGTTAATCTCCAGAAAGAATTCGGAACAACCGGTTAAACAAACTATACACAGTAGGCGCCCGTCTAGAATTACCCAAGAACGTCCGAGGGGTCGCGATGGAAGAGCGGGTTCACATTTCTCGGGGATTTGTGTGTGTGTGTGTGTGTGCGCGAGCGCGCGCTGCTATTACCCTTCATATTAAGAACCTGCAGCTGGAAAACCACCGCCACAACTCGATTTGGCCCGTGCCACTTTGGATCCATATAGTGTGATGCATAGATAGGTACGTATACATAATATGAAATTTAAAAACAGTTTTAACGAGTTTAGTGTTTCCACGTGGTTTAACAGTTCACAGTATTTTACGTCTTTTTTTCTTATTTTTTATTTAAATACGAGAATCTGTTTTTATCTCATACAATATAATATTGTAAGGTATAATTTTAATCGATTTTTTTTCAACCTACAAATACAATGATACTTTAAAACCGTATAGGACATGTTTGTCGTTGAAATACCATAGTATATAATTATTATATATTAGGCACTGCTGTTTTTTGAACTTATCGATTGTTCGTGTCTGATAATAATAATAGTTATTTTTTTTTTGTCAAACATTTTAAACCGTTGTATTTTTATTGGGGATTATTGTAAAAATAAAAACCGTATGTTAAATAATGTGATTAGAACTTAAGTACTTGTAATTTAAAATTGAACGCATATATGATATAATTATAATTTTTTTATTTAACCGGCTTTATTTTATAGACTGAATAATCTGAGAAAATTATGTAAGTATGTACAGGGTTTTATAAATTTCATGTTACAGTCAAATGTTTCATGAAATACTTATTTTTTCGAAAAATAATTTGTGTAAATACTTTTTGAAATCCTGCAATGTTACATTGTTCTTATATTTGTCCACTCTTATTTTTGGGATTAAAACCACTACCCAATTTTTATATTCAAATGGCAACCTGTATTAAAAATTCCATAAATAGATGCAGTTTTAAATATATTTCGGCGTTGAACTTTTAAATTCCCACAAACTTGTTGATATAATATTTCACTTTTAAGTTTGGATCGGGAGAAAGTAGTAGAACATAACTTGTGTGGCAGCACGGCGTGCAGCGTTTTAAAAATAAGGTATAAAGTAAATTTATGTAAGTTAAAGGTATATTTATTTAATTAATAGGCAATTTGTGACCAATTCCCAGTTGATTCGTTTCTCACGAGTCGGTACATTTTCCTCTACATCTTCCTCTCAAATTTATGAAGCTTTCTTTGTCTCTTTGAGTTGTCGACCACGTCTCACAGGTACCATACGTCGCTTTCGGGTGTAAGTTACGTAAATTTCAGATTCTGAGCGAAGCGATAGAATGTATTGGTTTTAAAATGATGTTTATTTTTTTCTTCTGCGGACTGTTTGAATTACGTGTCAACGGAGCATTTAAGAGAAGTAGAATTGAGATCACTGGTTTCTATAACTTTTCTTGAGTATATCGGTATATTTAGATTATCTTTAACTTTTTTTGTTTTGATGTGACCTATGTTTTTTTAAAAATTTTTTTCGCAATCGACGATTTTGTAATGTTTTGGATTTACCAAAAACAGCTTTTTTAGGTAGGGGAAAAGTTGGTTTTTCTTACATTTTGATGATAATATAATGATACATATAATGTATTATGATAAAATTTCAAAAATTTTATTATCATTTAACATACCAGAAAGTTCCTGATAAACCGGAATTTGGATTTGTTATTGATCTTCGACACCTGCAGTTTTTCAGTTGCAATTTGTTTGTATGAGTCATGTGAAACGTTGCATTCCTCTACTAAGATTCTGTCAACCATACGGAAGGAAAAATCTTCTCCAACCAATTCCCCCCCCCCAAAAAAAAATCTTTTCTTTTGTATTTATTACAAAATCGCTAAATGCAAAAATAATAGTTTACAAAAACATCGATGATTTTAAAATAAAGAAGGTTATAAACAATTTACAAAAACAAATGTCCTCAGGAGAAGTCACAAAAGGTAGTGATATTAATTCTGTACTGCTCTTTGACGCTTCATTGGCGCGTAGTCCAACCGGTTTCGGAACTTTTCGAACATATTTCGTATTGTTGACAAAGCAACACTTATAAACGTAATTCCGCTCAGAATCGTTTTTCGTTAGCAATGATTAACCGTTGCGTACACTTATACATTAAATTACCGTCTATACTCTACCTTCCCAACTTCTCACCTTCAACAGTAGCTGCACCCGTCCCCATTATATTAGGACGATTTTTTTTTCCTGTAAAAAACTTTTCTATCAACAATTTCGCTTCGATTTTCAAGTGTGGCACTTGTTCTGGGATGGTAATTTCGGAAGGTAATTTTTGATTTTCCCAGAGGGTTTTATAACGAATGGGAAAAAGCGTAGTTCGTATCTTTTTTTTTTAAGAGTATTTATTATATAGTTTTGGCTTCATTTAATTATGATAAGGAATGAAAGAATGAATGAATGATAATGAAATAAACTTAAAATCACCGTGTATTATTATATATTGTTATACTTGTCGAATGTCAGCATTGATCAAACGCACCTGCCAGTCGCGCGGGACCGGCTAAATATGTATACACATACAAAATTAATTGAAAAAAAAAAAACTACACGACATTTCAAAACATAATAATATGGCGAAATTGCGATCGAATCAATCATATGTGTACTGTTATCGCGTATTACCGGACGCGATAATGAAAACCCGTCGTCGGCGGCGGCTTTTTCGTGAGCACGGTGTTTGTCTATTGTGCGTTTTCGTATTGTATGGGGCGACGGCGGCGGCGGCGATTGCCCAATTAGACGGTGTTCGCACATGCCGAGACGCGTCTGCGGGCTCGCGTGTGCGTGCGGTGTTGTAGGTGCGCCGTAATGATTTCGCGATTTTCGGTAGTCGTTGTTTACGAAAATAAGGAGCAGAGAAGAAAAAAAAAACACGCGCCCGGCACCCCAAAACAGACGGTGTCGGGGCGGACGGGCGGCCGCAAACACGCGGGAACCCGATAGAGTAACATTTGGCAAACTCGCGCGCGCGTCCGTCACAGTAGCTGCTGCTGCTGCTGCTGCTGCTGTAGCCGCGCCATCGGCGTAGACTGCGGAGCAGACGGTTCGCGTCCCCGCGCCGCCGCCGCCGTCCGTCCGTCCGTCCGTCCGAAGACCTTGCTAAGTATCCCGGGCGCGAGCGAGCGTCCCGTATAGGTAAAAGAACCGATGTATACGCGCGGGAGGAATTAAATTAAAACTTGTTAAAAGGGAGTTCGCAACAATCTGACGGGCAGATGGTGGTGGCTAAACAGGCCGCCGCCACCGCCGTAAGCCACGTGTTGCTGTATATTATACACACACACACACACACACACACATATATATATATATATATAATATGCGTATACCGTAACAACCCTCGGAGATTATTTTCTATACGTACGCGTATAGGTATAATAACGATGATATACGACTGCACCGTTACGCGACGCGAGTCTCGACGAGCGTATACGAGCAGCGTTCCGCGTGCGCCGCGCAGGTTTCTCGTCCGTAATATTATTGTATTTTGTATATGATCGAAAGTTTTACTGCGTCGTCGGTCGATTATAGATGATAACAACAACAACAATAAAAAAACCGATAGATCGCTCCGCTCCGGATCTATCGAACGGAGTAAAGGACGGACGGCTGAAATTTCGTGCCCCCCTCACGCGCAGTACGTGCGGTTTATTAGAGAGAAAAATATTATTACATTATTTCGTATATGCGTTACGCGTAATATATTGTGTATAAATACGCGTGCGTATAATGAATTCCGTATTGTGTATAGTAATATACCTGTATACGTGTGCGTGGCGGCGCGTATACCTACTGTAAATTTCGTGGGCATTGTGTGCGCCGTGCGTGTATTATGCACGTGTATACACGGGAATGGGATCCGAAGGGTTGAACCGTACCGTTAAGGTATACGCGCGTACGTGCCACAATAACGGCGGACAGATGTGAGACAAGAGCGCGCCGAGACGCCGAGACACCAAATGGCACACGACCGCTGCAACCTGATACCGCTCTGTAGCACCGGGTGCTTTTGCTTTCGACGTATTTTTATTTTATTTTTTTTTTTTCCTATCCAAAACACCCGTTCTCCGTGTCTGCAGTGCGCGCGCGCGCTCCCGTCTGTGTACGCGTTTTTAAAGGTCTCCGGATCCGTTGCCCGCGCTTATGCGCGCATACCTGCAGCGGTCCGTCCGCCCACTATATACACACACATATGTATAATATTATGCGCGCGGGCCGTTTGTATTTGTATTTTATAATAATATTCGTTTTTGTGCCGCGATATTGTGTTACACGTCGCGTACATAGTATCCGTCGACCACGCGGTGTCCGTCCGGCCATATTTTAATATAACACGTATAATAATAAAAATAATATTATTATTATTATTATGTAACCTTTATACGGGCGTTATTGTTATTATTATTGTGCGTTACGCGCCGAGCGTTTAAAACCCCGTGCCGGTGTCCGTCTTGTGGGGGCGCGGAAACGCGTCTGTCGAAAATCGCCCGGTTTTACGTGTTAATAATAAAGCAGAATAATATTATTGTAATCCGCGCGGGCTGGAAAAGTGATGACGAGTCACGGCGCGGGTCCGATCCCCGTTTTCCCTCGTTTTCCCGTTCAGTTATTTTTCCCGCATCGGCATACTGCCCCGTCTGAAAAATAATCTTCAACGCGACGGTTACCGAGAAACTGTTAAATTCAATATTCCATTTGCAAACTCAAACCGTCGGACAGTTGTTCCAACACGAAATTAGTCTAGTTTTGGGATCGGTCAGATTGGTCGGAGATCCCGTTATCATTTATTTATTGTTATTGTTATTTCATCTTTCGCGCGCAGTTAATACACCCGCATACAATATACTCTTCTACTACTCGCCTGAGAAATTTTAAATTTTTTTTTCGCGACATTGATTAACCAATTCATCGTCAGATGGAGAACTAGATGTTACGTAGTCATTCCAATCGTCAGTGTCACTAGTTTTTAATTTTTCAGTACAAAACACTGCAGATAAATAAAATATAACAAACTTTTTGTTACAAAAGACACAAGATTGATTATTATCCAGTGTAATATCGTACCTCTATTCTTCAACCATGGACAATTTGAGAGTTGTTCCGAAACACGTTCCAATACTTTTCCACAAAGCTCTGAATCTCCGATCAGTCCACGTAAGTGCATGCGCAGTAAATCTATCACTGATCTAGTCCACAACTAGTCCCAAATTCCGTATTGGAACAAAGTTATTAGGTTAGTTGCATTGGAATAATATGTCATTAAGTGTTACGGTCATCTAAATTGCCTTATCAGTAAATCTTATAATTTGGATTGTATTGTGATAGATCAATAGATGGGTTTTATACACTTATCGTGTTATAGTAGTTATAAACTGCACGTACAATTATTATATAGGTAATTATATATAGGTAATTATATATAGGTAATTATATATATAATTATATAGGTTGGTATTGCGTAATGAAATTGTTGATTATTAATTTTTAGACGGGGAAATATCTTACGAGGATGTTACCGAAGTAATGACTGCCACTATCGATAGGAAAAAAAACTTAAGGATGTGAGGGTACACACTGTTAAATTGCAGATCTTGAAAAGTGTGCACCAGGATTAAAACTAAAGGAGAGTTAAGATAGAGAGAAATGCCGTGAAATATTAGAATTAGTCGAGTGCTCTGAGTGAACTATAGTAGCTAGGAAATAAAAAGAGAAACTTCTTCATGGAATACTTCCGGTGCGAACATAGTTGAAGAATACCGGATAACTAATTTGTTACATCCAGAGGTGCTGAACGTTGACGCCAGCCGCCATATGTGTGGGGTGGTCAATGGTTTGCAATCGCGATTGTTATCATTCGTTATTATCATTTCATCACATGTATGACGGTTTACGCTGTATATTATATATTATGATCTATGCGATTTACACTAAATTTTGCTCTCCTATTTATTTTCGATTTTCTATAAGGTCGCGCTGTGGTATGTGTTTTTAATCGTTTTATTTATATATAATGATGTCCACACAAAACATAACGCCTTTTACATTACGTATTTCCTCGTAGGCAGCCTTCAAAAAGCTTCCAAGCTTATTTAAATGAAATTGAATTTCGATCAGGGAACTAATAGAAATATCCTATGCGCACTCGACTTTACCGATACGTCAACGAGCGAGCCCAAAAACACCGAGTGCAACAAACTATACGGTATACCTATAAAACATCATATTATTATTATTATCATTATCGGGCCGTATTTATTATGTAAACATTGACCGTGGCGCGTACGGCGACTGGGCGTCAAATGAAACGAGAACGTCAGTTAGCCATCCGGGTATTCTGCATCGCAATATCTGTACACCGCGGGTTAGCGCGTTACAATATCAGCGTCGGGACGTTGTTTCGCGCGTGATGTAAAAAATCGAGCGCGAAAAAAAAAATCGAAAGGTCGAAGCGTGTATAGTGTTAAAAGGATAACGAGGTCTGTCGGGTGGTTTTTTTTTTTTTTTTTTTAAATCTATATACAAGTATTTGTTGTTTGGTTTTGCCCTCCCGCTCCCCCCCCCTCCTCACACCCGCCCGTCACTAATTGAATATACTGCACCGCACGCGCGCGCGCGACGGCGCTAACGGGGCTGTTGCTGCCGCCGCCGACGCCGCCGCCGTACCAAGACAAATAGGGGCGAGCCGCGAGGTGTCTGGGGGCCGCCGGTAACAGGATGCTGGGCCACGTGTGCTCAGCCCCGCGCCCGGTACGTATTATATTATAATACGTGTATATATATATGTATGTATATTATTATTCTTTAAATATAGAAACAAACACGCGCGCGCGTATACGTATTATAGGTATACACACAATATACACGCACGGCCCGGGGCGGCAGATGCGATCTCTCTCGTCGTCGCCGCCGCGGCCGTCACAACCGCGGCAGATGTGGAGCACGCAGGTCCTCGACGCGTGCAGATTTCCGTACGGTCGCGCGCACGCGAGTCTTCGGGGCGCACGACTGTACAATATTATATACGCGATTGCTGCGCGTATAATACGACGACGACGACGACAACCCTCTTTTAATACGCTCGTGTAGTAATACGCGCCGTTTACCTATGTACGTGCCGCGCATACAGGGTGTCTCGCGCGGAACAGACCGACAGACGTGATAACTTTCGCCACGGTCGATATTTTCGAGTTTGTTTTCTCCCGAAATGATTTCTAAAGCCTCGCGTTCGGCATACCGACGCCGTCTATTTCGCGTTGTTATTGTCATCATTTCTGCTTCTTGTATTTCGCCTTCGTCCCGACTGTTTCGGGTCGGCCCGCCCTTCTAGCACTCGACCCGATGCCCCCGCATCGTCATCATCGCGTACACCGGCCGTTCTCGATCGCACCCGACCGCCTTTTTTTTCGGTCGTACAATTTTCCCCCATGTAAAAATGTTAATAAAAAACTTATTGAACGTGACAAAAGTTATTTGTCATTTGTCAGATCACCGTGGGACACCCTGTATATGTATAGGTACCTAACCTATACACCTACCCTTCGCCCCGCGCATCTTCTCTTCCCGTGCGCGTCGACGGCCACATGGCGCGCATCCGAACACCTTAACCCCTTATTGTACCTAACCTCGAACTAATAGCTTCATTACAATATGCCGCCGAGACTCTTAACGAACTACTCCGTGTAGTTCAGTGATGTCGTCTTATTGTATAGTATAGCCGAGTTACGACGTGTACCATTACATATAGGTCGGACGTGTTGTACACTTGCGATTTTTGGTTTATATCATACGAGTCGTGATCAGAAAGTACCGAGACTGTTTGAATTGAAGAGCAGTAGGATTTATATCACTAGTTCTTATTGTGACTTATTCTCTCTATCGCATCTGCTTTTGTAGATTCTGTCCAACCTTTTTAGTATTGATGTAATCCGCAATGGGGTTTTTGTAAAATATGTTTTTCGTGTGCTGGCGACTTTATTATGAATCCGAAAGAAGAGCAACTTGGAGAACTGTTTGGAGATGTCGAAAAGGGTTTTTCTTCGATTTTAATTTAGTGATATGTGGGCAGTGATTATTATTATGATAACATTTCGAAAAAATGTTATTGCATTTACCGTACCAAAATGTTCCTAGAAAACCCGAACTTGGATTTATTTTTAACTCTCAATATTCTAGGGACACTCAGTGCATCTGCAGTATTTAGTTACTTTTTTACATAAGTCGTATGCAATTTTATATTTGCTTGTCGACCAAGTTTTTGTTATCACAACGGAAAAAAATCCTTCCAAAGCCCCCAATAAAGCTTTTTTTCGGGTTCATTAAAAATTCGTCGACACCTTAAAATTATATTTTATAAAAACATTGGTTATGTCAAAACTAAGAAAATTATAGAAACAGATGTGCTCAGGAAGTCACAGAATTCAGAGATATTAATTCTACTGCTCTTTGCTGCTCTGTTAACGTGTGATTCAAACAGTCCCGGTACTTTTTAAGCACATCTCGTATATTTCAACCGGAAATTACGATTTCGTAAACGTCTCGCGGCGGGATGATTGGTGAACAAAATTTGTGTTGAAATATTACGATACCCCCGTGATTTATTTGTTTTATATAAATATATTGCGTTTGTTCAAAATCCGTGTATACAATTCTTCTTATTTGATATGGAAATAATTTTTTTGTTCAGTCGGTATATTAGGTCGTAATACTGCAGAAACTCGTCTAATGAAAAAGCAAGGAAAAAAAAAAAACGTAAATAAATAAATTTGTTACGCAGCCACCACGCGTTTGTCGTTTTCCTTACGCAGTACGACACCTAATATGTGTATATAGTTCATTATACCGAAAAAGGGTGTTTTTTCTCGCTCCCGGGGAATATAGAATTAGTTTGTGACGTTCGCAATAAATTACGGTGCGAAAAAGTACTACGGTCGTTTCTTTTTTTTTTTTTTTAATGGGAAGACACGCGTAGTATGTGTACCGGGTGAAAAAAAAAATATACGTTTCTTTCTTTACCCGCGACGAGGAGACGTATATAAATTGAGCGATTTATTTCTGGAAATATCTCTGGTACGCGTATATATAAGGGACAGAAAATGGGGTTAAACGCCTCGTTATTTATATATATACCCCTGTGCAACGTGGAAACCGGTTCAATGGAACAAACACCGTCTATACACATAGTCAACATGTTGGTCGTATATATGTATATAATAATAATGTGTTGTCTTATCTGCATTGCGTATGTATTATACACTTATAAAAAAAAAAAAAAAATTACGACGCATGTCGAAACCGTATAATATTTTAAGAGAAAGTGAAATAAAATGAATTATAATATTGTATATAGGATAATTTGACGTACAATGGAACGTTTTTTGATAATAATATATTATAATGTGTATATTAAGTATATAATATATATATATATATATATATATACTTATAATTGTGTATAAAAAGGGCCGGGATCGCGTGCCAAATGCATAGGTCCCATATAAACGTTCCTATATATATATATATATATATATATTTTATAGTTTTGTGTATATATATCATCGATAAAAAGGCATAAGTAATATACGAAAATCGCTATTTTTCCCAAAGAGACACTGTGTAGAGTTGGTCGTTCGTGTGTTTCCAGACGTCTGAACTATTATAATGCACGTTTAATGTTCTCCAGTCATGACTACTACTGTGTACTATATACCATTGGCAGCAAAACGGGACGCCATAAAAATTGAATCACATTTTATTTGTTTATTAATGGTTAAACGTATATACCATATTATTATTATGTATATTATGCACAGCGATGTTAACGTCCCGGAAAACAGATCCTTCTTTCACGGTAAACATTTATCGAGTCATACACTCAATAAAATATGTTTGAGGAGGATATTGTATGCGTTTTAAAAATAGAATCCTTTTTCAAACTTATTCTCTTTTTTTTTTTTTTTCTTCAGCGATGCTCTTTTGATATGTACCTCTTTGATAGATATTCGCAGCCGATGATAATTTTTTTCGTATAATTTGCTTTCGTGATATTTAGACGATATTGTCAGATGATTATGATAAGGTAAACATAATTTTGTAAACACAAGCGTCTGGTATTCCGGATGTTGAGTAAAGAGGTTTTTTAGTTATTTTAAACAAGTGTAGGTTAAA